TTTTTTTTGTTTTTTTTTTAAATAGGCTAATATTTTGTATATATGTAGCATAGCATTAGCAATTACAATACAATTCAAAAATCAATTGGCCCACCATCAGCACCATAACATGCTTTTACTTATCTAATCATACTATTAGATAACTTGCGATAACATTTAGGTAGAATTGAATACCAGGCAGCTTTAACTTTAATTTCCAAGTCCTCAATGCTTGTAGGTAAGTCTGGAGAACTGCATAAACATGTTTTAACCTCTTGTTAAAGGTTCTCTATCGGATTAAGGTCTGAACTTTGAGCAGGCCATTTTAATACAGAAATATTAGCATTTTTAAAAACATTCTTAGCTTTCCAATATTTGTGAGGAGTTGCATTATCTTGCTGAAAGATACCTTATCAAAGAAAAATTCAGAACCAAAATTAGGTATGCACAAAAAAATTTTATTTGCAAAGCTAGTGATGTACCATTTATATGATACTCATATTTTTTTAGTGTACAGTCATACAGTAGTACAGTACATACAATAGTACAGTACATACAGTACATATACGTAGTAGGATTTTTTTTATACTATAAGTTTGGACTATTTCATAATTGTTTCGGAATATTTAGAAACTTATAAATGTTATAGAATTTTTTTTATTGTACCTTGTCCATTAGGTACTAATTGACATATAGCAAAAATAGCATGTCTTCTTATAAGTTTAGTATAAACTTCACCATTTATAGTACTACGAATAGGAACTATGGGTCCTAACCCATGCCATGAGAAACACACCAAGAACATAAGACCAGGACTATGTTCTACAGTAAGAACAAGACATAATTCATCAAACTCTTCAGCTGGAGTATGCCAAACTCGTATATTATGACTTTGATCAAATTATACAAAAAAGGATTCATCTGACCATACTACATTTTGCCACTTATGAGTTGACTAATTCAGATGTTCTTCTGCCCAGACTTTCCGTTCTAGTCTATTCTTAGCACTAATTAATGGCTTATGATGTGCAATACATAATTTAAGACCACATTTTTTAAAGTATGATGAATTGTAGAAATAGAAACTTTTTGGTTTTTTTCTTTTTTCCATAAATTTTGTATTTCTTTAAGGCTTAATCGATGGTGTTTGGTATCTTGTATAACCAATTTTTCTAAGTTCTTCTAATGCAGATTTATTAAATATAGATTTTGGACCAGGACATTTTCTTGGCATAGTAGATCCTGTTTGAGCATATCGTTTCAAAGTATCATGCACAGTGGTTTTACCACATTTGATATTTTTGGCAATAGTTGCCAAAAAATCTCCATGTTTATAGCTGTAAAGAATTCCTCCATGTTGAAAATAAGATAATTTTTTTTTTGTCATTAAGCTACAAGATCTTAAAAGTTAAATTTAGGCAAATTATCTTTTTTATATAT